AATAAGAAATTTAGTTTTCATTTTTTTAATAATAAAAAATTTAAATATAATAAATTATATTTTACAAAAATTACAAAATATTTTAGACATGCGTGTCTAATTTTTTTTTAGTATTTTTTTAATCGGACAAGTCTACAGCATGTCCGACACATGTCGGAGGCATGCTGGACACGTGTTGTGTCGGATACATGTCTCGGACACTACTTACCTCTTTGAGAAAAGTGTCGGGGCATCGTAGGTAATTTGTTTGCATCAAACTCAATACTAAGTAACTTTGGTTGCATAGGCTTGGGGAAGTTTAGCGTACATTTTTTGAAAGAAGTTCTCACTTGAGAATTGTTTTGTATATGTTTATGTGTGCATTTGTGCACTGATGACATCCTGATTGACCACTCCAGTTTCCTACTTTAGTGTTTTCTTACCTTAAATATTTTCTGATTCTGCATGTTTCATATAAATACAGTGAAAGAGATTTGGTCAAGCACATTCTGTAAGATTTCACTATGCCTTAAAATTTATGCCAATTTAAATTTTGGCAGATATTCTCTATATTTCCTTTTCTTTCACCGCCACCCCATCACACCATAATATTTTAGTCCGTTCTAGCTTGCTGTTTGGCCACCTTCTGCCTTTCCTGATCTGCATGCATGCATTCTAAGATAATATGATCTATTTTTTACTTGTAGAATGTATTCTAAAAATGATACATTTTATACCATGTCATAAAATTATTTATGCATCTCATATTTTTAAACTATATTTTAATGAAGACAATGCTATATACACCTTTACCAATTGTGTATAAACTGTTGGAGGATTTTAGTATGGATTTTATATTATGTTTGTCACAAGCTCTAAGATAATAGGATCTATTTTTTTAGTTGTAGAATGTATTATAAAAATGATACATTTCATACCATATCATAAAATTATGCATGCATCTCATATTTTTAAACTATATTTTAATGAAGTAGTTAAATTATATAGTTTACCTAAAGCTATTATTTATTAATTGAGACGTAATTTTCAGGAATTATTTTATTAAACTTTTGATTACATAAATTTTCAACTATTTATCATCGTACAAATTGATGAATAAATTGATGTGTTAAATAAAAGCTAGGGAGATATATTACATTTTCTGATAAAATGACTATCTATGATGCACAGATACGGACACGACAACATAGATATGACACGACACTGGACACGTCAAATATTAAAAATATAGGACACGGATACGGGTTGGACACGGTATTATAATTTTATATTTAAAAAATAGTGTATAAAAATTGAATAACTATAATTTTAAAAATAATTTAGAAATAATAAATCATTTAAGTAGAATTTGTGTTTAAAATGATTAATATTAGGATGCCAAGAGTCGGGCGTTGGTGCCATTTATCAGTCATCGAGAGAGGAGATGACAATGTTGTCGAGAATCGGGCATTGATGTTATGTAATAAATATTGGGCATCAATGTTAAGAGGGCGTTTATCGTCGATGTTGAGAGGGCGTTTGTCGTCAATATTGAGATGATGTTGGATAAGTATGAGATGTCAAGTTGTGGGTATAGAAATTGCTAGCATCAAGCATCAATGTAAAGACTGCGTCAGACTTTGATATGGAGATCATTTTGAAATGTTGATGTTGTAACGACGTCATTCGTCGATGTTGAGATGACATCGGGCATTGTTGTGAAATCAAAGTTGTAACCTGCCAAAGAGAAATGAAAATGAGAATATTCGATGAATGGGGTATTAAGTGCGAGCGATTGATTTTCTGTTGTGGATAGGAAATAAGAAATTTAATTTTTATATTTTAAATAAGTAAAAATTTTAAATACAAGAAATTATATTTAAAAAAATCATAAAATATTTAAGATACGTGTGTCGGCGATACGCGTGTCCAATTTGTATTTAATATTTTTTAATCGGACATGTTTTCGACGTGTCCGACACATGTCGGAGAAGTGTCGGACGTGTGTTGTGTCGGATATGTGTCAGACACTACACGCCTCTTTGAGGAGAAGTGTTAGTACATCATAGATGACTATATATCTTGGCGGAATTTGATAATTCATGTGATTGAGTTTGCATACAATTTATCTACAATGCATAGACACGGACACGGCGACACAGACATAAACAAGGAACATGTCAATTATTAAAAATATAGGACATGGACACGGGTTGGATACGACTTTATAATTTGTATATTTTAAAAATAGTGTATAAAATTGAAAAAATATAATATTAAAAATAATTTAGAAATAATAAGTCATTTAACTAAAATGTGTGCTTAAAGTGATTAATATTAAGATTTTGAGAGTCTGGCGTCGATGCCGTGTATCAGGCATCAAGAGAGGAGACGATAATGCTGTTGAGAGTTGAGCATTGATGTTATGCAATAAGTATCAGGCTTCGATTTCAAGATGGAGTTTGTCGTCGATGTTAAGGCGATGTCAGACAAATATGTGTTGTCAAGTTGTGGGTGTAGAAATTGCTAGCATCGAGCATCAATGTCAAGATAGTGTCAGACTTTGATGTTGAGATGGTTTTGAAATGTCGATGTTGTAATGACGTCAGACATCGATGTTGAGATTACATTAGGCATTGTTGTGAAACTAAAGCCTGGACCCACCAAAGAGAAATGAAAATTAGAATATTTGATGAATGGGGACCTGGGGTATTGAGTGCGGGAGATTGATTTGTTGTTGTGGATAGGAAATCAAAAATTTAGTTTTTATATTTTAAATAATTTTTTTTTAAATACAAAAAATTATAGTTATAAAAAATTTCATAAAACATTTACGACACGCTTGTCGGACACACATGTCCAACTTATATTTAATATTTTTTTTTAATCAGATACGTTTTTAGCGTGTTCGACATGTGTCGGATACGTCTCTGATATTGCACGCCTCTTTGAGTAAAGTGTCGGTGTATCATAGCAATTTATTTGTTAATATGTCTACTACCATGAGTTTATTTAAAATTATCATAAGGAATCTAGACCTAGAAGCCTCTAAATCTTGATAACCTTACTATTAAGTCTGGGCTACTCGCATAATATATACATGATTTGCATGAGGATATTCATAACAATTAACTACTAATTATGATAATTACTTGTTTTTTATTAATGTGAATATGTTGTATGTGAAGTTGAAACATGTTGGTTAAAGTATAAGGTGTTTGACTTTAGAAATGTCTCAATATAGCGTTTGAGGTTTATTGTGATGTAAGAAAGACAGCATCATCTTAATTTTTTGTTTAACACATTGAAACTAATACCCTTAACTTGGATACTTAAGAAATTATTGGTACAAATCTATTTTTTATTGGGCCTAATTTGACCTTATTTCATTATCCTACTATCAATTCCTTGTATCATGTTTTCTTTTCCCCTCTTTCTAGTGGGTTCATGTCAAATCTTTTCTCAAATACTTTTGTACGATTTATTCCTTTGCTATTCTAAATGAAGAGATTGTATCCACTATTGATGACTGATGTGTTTATGATGACAAATATATTACTTTGCATGAAGCATTTAATTTATGCTATGGTTTATTTAATGAATGCCTAATATAAATTCTTCATGGCCGATTTTGTCCAAGTTGGACAAATTTAATGGAAATGTGTTTATTTTCATCGGAAGCATCACATTAAGCAATAATATGTGCACATGAGGGATGCATTTTATTAATTGGTATTTTTTTTTAGAATTTGGAACATTTCAATGATGATGGACAAGAGGGATGCATTTTGATTTCCTAATTTTATGTTAGTTCATATGGTTTATTTCAATTTGATTCGGTTTTGATCAAAAGCTCAATCCATCAATGTCGAATTTTTGAAGCTAGGAAAATTGATGCTGGACTTGGGTAGTGGGTTTTGGATTGAATCCTTATGTGCTTTGTATGATGGCCGTTAGTTCTATGCTCTTAGATTAGGTGGTGGATGTTGGCTTTATCCTCTCAGAATTATTGTTTTGATGGTGGAGGTTTGAATTGTCATTCTTATTAAATTAAATTTTAACTATCTTATTTTCATGAGGTGCTAATCTCATTTTCCTCTTAATTTTACCATACCCATTCTTAGTTTTAATATTCTCATTTATGTCACATTAAACTTTCCATTAATGTTTTATTATTCCATTTTGAATTAATATATTATGACTCTGAAAGAATAACAAAGAAGGCACATTGTGTCGCAAAAATAAAATATAAAGTAGAAGGTGCATTCGAATAGCCTGATCCGTATGCGCTCTAGTCTTTTAAGTCATGACATGATCAAAGGAAGAAGAATATTATGGTAATATGACTTCCCTAGTAAATAAAGAAGTGATAGAAGATGAATTATAGTTGTTTTCTTTTACTTTGTAGCTACGGCGTCAAGAATACATAGGGTGAATGCCCAGGCCTCAGAGTAAACATTGCAGTGAATTATTCAATTACATCAGATGTCAATCATTTATTTCATAAATATTTCAAAATTGGTAATCGTACATGGAATGTGGCGACATTTGAAGAATCCTACTACTGTATTTTAATATAAATAGCGTTAACATCACTTAATATAGTATTATTGAACAAAACGTAATATTTGTCAAATAACATTGATATTTAGTAACACTAATATCTCATTAACTTTGAATCAAATAGCCTCTATGTCTAATTCATATATCCTATCGCATATTCTCCAAGATATTCTTTTAAGATTTAAACTTATCATGCACTGGAGAAAAACTTAAAACATTTACTAAAACAAAGATATGTTGACCTTAAACTCGACCGGGACTCTCATGTTTATTGTGCCCTGACTTGTTTACAAAGTACCTTAACATCACAAGCTATACAAAGTCTGTGCTCTGCGTTTTAATCATTAATAATAGTTTGTGATGTGTTTTGGTCGTCCATGATACTGCAAGGCGGACACAAAATTTAGTTGATTATTATTTTAACCTCACTGCATGAGTAATTAATCTTGTATCTGCAGCTTGTCGAGAAAGAATTTAAGATCAATTGGCAACGGGTGGGTATCACAAGCATGTTTGGATTTGCGTTTGTTGGGCCAGTTGGAAATTACTGGTAAGTTTATACTTCTCTTTCAAAGGCTCAAAGTTTACTAGTTTATTGCAGTAAATATGCATTTAGCTTGCTTGCACAATCCTTGATGTATTCATGACTGGAAATTGAGTTAAACATAACGAAACGGTTAAAGAATAAGTTCTCATTAATATTTGGAAATGCTCATATTTCCTTTTAAGCTTATCTTTCCGTTGAGTTTCTGATGAGGACATCGATCCAAGGTTCAAACAGGTGTATCGCCGGAAGCATCGCAGATCGACGGCCACGATTCAGAGCTTATATTTTTTAGTTATTATGCATTTTATTTTATGTATTCCTTTTGTACCCTTATGTTGAGTTGAGTCATGTTGGGGCCCTGAGGGCAATTTAGTCTTTATTTCTTCTTGTATGCTTGAGACCTATATATATGGGTCTTTTCTCTTGTAATAGCTAATGAAGATTTGAATGAAAAAATTTGTGTTTCTACTTCTTCTTGCATGAGGTCTTGAGAAGGGAGAGAGCTCAAGGGGAGCAAATTGCAAGGCCCACCAGACGTTGGAAGAGTCCGCGGCTCGTGGTTAGGTTTTCTATCTTCTCCTTCGTATTCACCTCCATCTTCCTTCTCCTCCACCACAAGAAAATCCCTTCCCAACCCTACTTGTCGCCGCTCCTTGGAAGCCCTCCGCCGGCCACTTCCACGGCTCCGGCCGGCTACCTTGCCGACGACTTTCCCCCTACCCGCCCCAACCCTTCCATCCACATGTTTCAAATTTGAAATTTGAATTTCAAATTTCAAATTCTTTCCTAATATGGAAATCCAATTTAGGAAAGTTGTTATGATGAACTCCAATTTCAAATTCAAATAAATTGGATTCTTCATAACTTAATTCCACGTCATCACCTCGAATTGGAAACCCCTTCCTTTTGATTTCTCTCTCTTTTCCTCTTAGCATGCCGCCGGCCCCTTGGTGGGAATTAATCCCATTAATTGCTACTTAACTCCCCTTCCCCCAAATTTGAAATCAAATTGTTTTCAAATTAATTTCCCACCCTTTCTATTCAAAATCCTGAAATTAATTTCAGGTTTTGAGTTTAAAACCTCCCTCCCTCCTCTAATGAAACCGCCGGCCCCATATATGGCTCCCATCCATTAAACCCCCCCATTCAATGCATTAATTCCTATTATGAATTTTAAAATTCAAAAATCAATCCC